ATATATATATATATTCCACCAAATATATATATGAAGATATAGATGCACCGTGCGCCTCCTGATTCAAAAAGTGAAGAAAACGAAAAATCTAACATCGAATTGCTCCTATCTTCCCACCTTCGATGTTTCAAGCGATCAAAATTAGTCCAACCTATTCCAATTCCTTTTATCATTAATTTTATTAATAGACTGTAATACCAAGAGATCGTGGAATGCCTGGTTCAATAAAAAAAGTGAAATTATAAAAAGGGTACATATCGTAAGAAAATTGAGGGAATGCCACATTAATTAAATTAATTCTCATTAGACTAATGTCAGTTTCCTCATTTTTCCAGGCCTACGTTGGTTATTAATCCACGATCAGCAGGTATTAAAGGATCGAGAAAATCCGTTCCATGTGTTAAGAGATTGCTTGTTGAAAATCTGCCGATCTAAAGAAAACAGAAGTATAATATACGAGTATGCACGCTTGTATACAGTTGAACAACGATATGTACTTTCGACCGCGTAAAAGTTTAATCACAGGCTTTTCGAGCGAAGCTGTCATCTCGCGATATTAAAAACGAACATACTCGTAAACAGAGATCGCTTAGGATCATCAATGGTATTTGTAAGTCCTTTGTGAATGAGATTAAACGTGATCAGAAAGTTATACTTTTTGAATTGGAGACGTCGGCTGCTATATATCCAAATCAATATGAACGTAAGATATTGATATGGGTGTACAAATATTTCGTAATGAAATCGTGGTATTGGCTGATTGCTTATTTTTCTCTTTTTCCATTTTTTTCTTTTTTTTCTTCTTTTTTTTCTTTATTTTCTTTGTTTCAATATACTCACTATATCTCATGTGATTTATTTATAAGAGAGAGTATTCAAATTTATCGCAATATGAATCAAATTTATTCAATTTTTTTGTTTTTTTTTGAATAGATTAAAAAAATTCTCTTAGAAATAATTGTCACAAGATGGCATAGTGAGCTAACGGGGTGGACACGAATGCTGTATTTAAGCTCAGCGTATTTATAATATTCTTACTCAATAGAAACTTGGTAGCTCACTTTTAACAATAGTGCATGTTGCTTTGATTCGGGCTACAAGTTTTTCGTTAAAAAGAAATAAATAACAGAGATAAGTATGTATTTATTAAATTATTATATAAATACTGTTTTTATTTTAATAATAATATAAAATAAATCAAACATAAATTGATGATAAAACTAAAACTTGTGGTCAGTTGCACGTATTTGTAGTTAATATATTATAAGAAAAACTAATTTCTTCAACATTAGCGCATTGTTTATTTCGTTAAATTGGAATCAGATAAAAAAAAAATATATAGCGTATATAAATTCTTATATACTTATACATAATTTATACATAAATATTATTTTTATATAGCGATTTTAAAAACAAAAAGAAGAAAAATAATAAAATTGATCAAATTACAACATAATAAAAAAATTGAAGAAAAAATGACAAAAATATAAACATGCTTCATTGATTAAAAGTAAAAAGCAAAACAATGAAGTGTGTTATGCAAAATATCTTTTGGATGTATATATATAAAGAAAGAAATTTTGAGCGAAATTATATTTGTTGCATCCTTATCTACTTTGTGTGCAAATATACATATATACATAGCTTTGATCATTTTTCATATATTTGTATTTTAGTTTGCATGCTTGGAATGTATTGCTAGAAAGATGCGTGACGTGCGAGCTGCTTTATTGATTGATAACTTGATTGATTATTTATTATTTCTGATCATCAAATGAAGAAAAGAAATATAAATTTTGTTATTTAAATTTTGCTATAGAAGTTGCTCGCTCGTCTTATTATAATGCATGTTCATATAACATGTAGTAAATTTTTTCATAATTCTATCTTTTATGTTTATTCGTTCGATGTCTTCTTAACTTTATATCGATGTATTTCTTTTTTTACAGATATAATTTTCTTTCAAAAATAAATTTTTTATAAGAAAATTTAAAATCGTTAAGAAGGAATTGAACAAATTGTTTTTGTCAATTTTTTAATTGTCGTATAATTAAAAAATTTCGTAAACGGTTTTTTAGGCACGATAAAGAGATGTTCCTATTCCTGTCGTGAACAAACCATCGAATTCATTAACATTTCTGAATTATTTTTCTTCCTTCTATGGAAATTCTGGGAAATTATTAAGAAATTGTTCCAGTTGAATTGTTGCTACAAGGTTATAGGAATTTCTCAAGCAATTGAATTGCATGTGCATGTTTGGCAGAATATATCATGTATACTGTTAATAGTGAGCTTAAATATGAGATAGTATTTAACGATATTCATCGAGAGTTGTCGTGAATATAAAAGTGCCTCTACCTTCTCAAACCCAGTGACCTAGAACAAGTTCGATAAAAAATTGATTGAATTTATATTGAGATTAAAAATCAAAAAAACATTAACAAATGTACAAATATTTGTAACGTAACATTATTTCTGTAATAATAACATTGTTATTACAATAAATAAAATAAAATATTAAATATTAAATTATTACTAAATATAGAAATGTGTTTTTAAACTTAGATATATTATTCTGACATTGTATATTAATGAAGTCATGTCGAAAATTAAATCTTGTTCTATTAAATTAGTATTAAAAATAATATAATTTAGTATATAAATTTTTTCTAAAAATTGCTAATTAATTACAAGATTATCTTAATAAATAATTTTTTTTTTTTTTTTTTAGGTTTTTTTTCTAAGTATCATATGAATAAAATTTCTTCGATAATTCAATCATTTAATGAAATCTTCAATCGGTCGCTGGGTTTTCCGAGATATAAAAACT